ACCGTTTGACAAAAACTAGGTTCGGACAAGGGGACTCTCTATCATGAGAATACTTTTATCTGATGTGTGAGAGGGCAATAAGAGCTGCAGAATGGAGCCGTTCAAGTACAATGATATCAACAGGATTGGCCTCACAAAATGCAACGTCTGCTTTGTCTTTTCCCAGTTAGATTTGCAAGCGAGACAAGTGCATCTGGAAGTTAACGCACTCGCGTTTCGAGAACGGTAGGCTCTGAAATAGGTGTCCAATACACATCTTCACAGATGGATTGAAAATTAATGACAGAGTTAGAGGAGGTATATTCAATCAGGAACTCTTCGTAATTCTCTTATTCAGACTGACGGACATTTCCAGGGGTTTTCATGCGTAGGCAGCCGCTATAAAAGGAGCAGTGGATTAACTATCCACCAGTGTATTGCCGATTAGACAAGTGAATACCTACTCAGTTATCCAAGCGGCAATGAGGTCCCTAGGATTGCTCATGGTACGAAAACTCTATCCCAATCGCCTCGGACTACTTCCAAATCAATTGAATTTAGGTTCCCGGATTATCTATACAAGGCATAACTACTAGAGGTAATCTCCCCGGACAGGGCTGACATAGGAGTTCCTTTGGCAAATGGTGAACTATTCCTGTAGGGATGTGCTTGATGGCGGCCCAGCGAGTGGTGCCCGGTGGTCCACCGCGTGCCGCAAAAGGAGTTTCCGTAACTGTCTAAACACTAACTCTAGACTATGGCAGGTGGACTTACCGGATACTGCCCTTTAGAAACCCTGGCGATTTTACTAACTTAACAGATATTACCTCCAGTTAGCATTCCAGAAATAATCTATAATGTAGTACAACAATAGACAACGCAATGCATAGCTAAGCGAACTCATCGCGGGGCTTCCACCTAACCTAGTTGGTAAGATCTGTAATTAAGAATCTCTAATGCAAACCAGAGAACGAAAAAAAAAAATACAAGGACTGGTTGGCCCGGGTAACGTTTACAGCTTCCCCTAATTACATTGTCACAAGTGCAAATGTAAAAAAATTTCCACTACCAAATATTCTTTACGCAAAAAAACCTCGGTTATTAATGCCTAAACTCACAAAAATTAAAAAAAAATTATCGTTAATCACACTCACACATACTAACATACATACACGCTTTGCTAAAGTTATTCAGCGAGTTTTAGTGCTCTTTTTCAATCTGTTGTCCAACTTGTTGGCAAAATCCCGCGGGCCTGCATCGTTGAGTGGTTGATGCACAAAATCGCTGGAATTTTGTACTTACCAACGCACAGCTTTGCTGATGCATTACATTGCATTTATCGAATGCCACTTTCTGTGGCTGCTCCCCGCTGAGTACTAACCCCTCAACATTAGTTGTAGTAGTTTTTGTCTGTGCCGTTCCTGCTGTTGTTGATTCTACATGCCTCACAGACATGTTTTTTTTAATTCGCCGTTTATCTATCGTTGTCAACGCACAACTTTTGCTGCAAAATCACTGAATCACGCTTATGGGTGTTCGAAAACATAAAAACATCTAACTTTGAGTGCTCGTTATCTATTGTTAAGCGCGGACAAATCTAACATTGTAGGCAAAAAACACTTTTAACAGCTACTCACTTTAAAATCTCTAATACTAGATTGTTGCTGGGTGTTGATGACACGACTTCGAAACTATCGATAGCTGATGGATTTTTTCAATGCACTTTTTAAACAAAATAGACTTTCGATTTTAGTATTTCTGCGCCACGGAGCGTAGAGAAAAGTTGTTCTATATGATGTGTGATGACGATGTGTGATATGTGCAAAGACACGAGTATGAATTCGCCTTGGCCAAAAGTTTCTTTGGCTGGCTTTCGTTCATCCAGAGCAGCATCGTCTTTTAAATAATTGTTCATTGTTACGTTTTTGAGCCACAGACTGCAAAAGCCGCTCGGATGCAATTCGCCTGATCTAAAGCCTCGTTTGTTCTCGATCGTCATCCAAAGTTCCGTCCCAATTTAGACGAAGCTAAAATTTACGCTCCCCATTACTCTATAAAGTTTTGAGGTAATTTTTAATTTGGAAATTGCGTCAACAAGAGCTTTGATTGTAGACGAAAATGTGTTGCAATTCGCTTTGCTTACCCAAGGTGCTTTCCAGGATTTAACGCCCTCTGAAAGACTAGTCAATGGAGGAGTTCTTCTGGAGTTGTTTGGGATTTTTTACATTTTTTTTTGCTTTTTTTATTGTTTCATGGTTTTGGGGACTTTTTTGACTTGTCGTGAGACCTTTTATTTACGTGGCATTTTGATCTTCTTACGAATTTTCGAGAATTCTCGGATTTTTTTTTTTTTGTAATGATGTTTTTAGGATTTCTAGGAGCTTTTAAGGTTTTAAAGTTTTTAGGACATTTCTTTGCTTCTTATTTTTCGGACCATTTTTTTAACTTTTTAGTGTTTTCTTAAGTAAGTGACTTTGGAAGTGGGGATTTTAGGTGAGTTTTCTGAGTGAGTGAGTTTGAATGTTTTCGAGAAATTCGCTTGAATGTTTTCAGATTCTCTAGTATCGAAAACTTTGAGAGGCGCTTTGAGATTGCAATAGACTCTTCGAAATTATCTCGTCCCTTTTGGAATTTTTCAGTAATTTTTCTGCACATTTTGGATTTTTTACGATTTTTATTTTTTTTTTTCATTCACAAAACTTTTTTTTTTGTGGCACAGTGAAAAAGATTTAGTTACGTCAACTAAATATGTTTCTCTCAGCGCATGATTTGGCTTTAATAACATTTATTGGTTATAGTTGCCAAATCATGTGCTCATACAAATATATTTTGCAAATTTTTTTCAGCGTGTATGTAGTTTTTGATTTGGCTCGGAATTTCAAGAGATTTCTTCGTTTATTTCTCGAGATTTCATGCTGTTTGAGATTGTTTAGGAACTTTTAAAGTTTTATCCCGAATAGTTCAAATTTTTTCGGTAGTTTTTGAAACTTTTGGGATCTATGATCTTTCTGGAATTTTTTTATCGTTTTGGAATACTGTCAACATTTTTCAGCAAACTTTAAAACCTCCTATCGCACTTTTTTTCATTTAATGCTACTATTTTTTTCTTGTTTCGAATCTTTTAGGGTTCTTTAGGCACTTCTTTGGTATTTTCCTAAATTTTGGGACTTTTTTAACCTTCTTATGACCACTTCGAAATCCTGGCTCTAGTCTGTTTGTATCTTCCGGAACTTTCTCTAAATATAAAATATTCACGAATTTTCTAAAGTCTTCGCGTAGGAATTTTTTTTATATTTTTTTGAAAGGGGTTTTTGGAAGTCAAGTAATTTCGAGATCTTCACACGATGTTTTTTTTAGATTTTTAAAACTATTTTCGGGATTGTCTTTATTTTGTTTTGCTATGGATTCTTTTGGAACATTATCGCGGATTTTTTTTCTAGATGCTTCGAAGTTTCTAAGAAATTTTTGCGACAGGTTTTCGAGTACTTTCAGAATTTTTGGAATTTGTTTGTTGTTGAGAAATAGCCCAAAACTACTTATAAATACATTTATTTGCATACAAATGTACATATATGTATGCATATGTATACATAAATTTCGCAAAAGGCAATAATACAAAGAAATATATGTATATGGAACTGACTTCTCATTCATAACAACTACAATTACTCTTCTTTTTTCTTGTTTTGCAGAGTTAAATCTATGATGCTCGATTGCAAAGGGCAATAATCAAAAATGCAAATCCATTTCGCGCTGCAAACCAGCATACGATAACTTGTAAAACCAAGACAGAGCTGCTGAAAGAAAAAAATAACCAAAGCTCAATAGTGTCGATCGACGATGAGATAAAACTAAAAACGAAACAAATAAGGTGGGTGGGAGAGCAGAGCAGAGTATTCCGAAAGGAAATAAACAATTTACGCAAACGATAAAAGTTAATAAAATACTTAAGCGGATTTAGCAAAAGCAATAGGAATAGCAAAGCGACAACAACAACAATAACCATATCATAAACTATGCTGGCAAAAGAGAACGAGAAAAAATCAACAAGATAAATATGACCGAAGCAAAAAGAAATTGTGTAAAATAAACGCCAGGCATGCAGCAGGAAACTAAGAACCCAACTGAGAGGGAGGAGTCCAGAAAGTGAGGATATATTGCATTTTGCAGCAGCTGCAGCAGCAGCGAATAATCAATCAATAGCTTCAAGAGAAAACAGCACAGCACACACAACGAGCCAGCGAACCAAAGGAGGTGGAGCAATCAGAAAAGCAACGACATTGTATAAAAAGTATTGAGCGCCGAGGACATAAATAACTGCTGAAGTAACTGATAGTGCGCCAAAAAAAGGAAACGAAAAAAAAACGAAAGAAAAAGGGACAAAAAACACAGAAAACGATAAATAGTTAGCGCCGGGAATTGAGCTGCTGCGAGTGGAGTGAATTGGAGTAGAGTAGCCGCGCGGTCGCTCGCCTATCTCCACCCCACACAGTGGGTGCTGTGAGCAGACCTTTAATGCAAATTACTTGAAATATTCTGCAGGGAGATGACGAAAAAACGACGCTTGCCGCCAGCGGCAGCAAAAATAGTTGCAGCGTCAGATGCAAACGCAGATGTGGGTAGCGAAAAAGCGCTGAATATGCTGAGGGAGAAAAGCGGAGGCGGGCAAAGAGCGCAATTGACCCACTCCGATAAGGCAGCTGCACTGCCAGCCGATGGGAGGTTGGCCACGGCAATGGCGCTTGCAATGCCAATTAAGAATGCGCGAACAAGCAGTCAATGCTTTAACAACAACCAGAATAACTACACTTACGAAGCGAATCGACAAATTCACAGCAATAAAGCGCTACGCGATAAGGACTGCGATGCGAATCAGGACCGGCCCGAAAGTGACAGCAGTAAATCCGATTGTTGCACCAATTACACCAGAAAAATGTTGACGACAAGTAGTGAAAATATTGGCACGCAACACGCAAAATATCCGCAATATATGGTGCCGTGCAAC